ATTTACGAGGTGCGAATGCGAATTTATTTACAAAGTTTATGCACGTGTTACCCCAAATCTCTAATTTTACCCTTAAACAGTCAAACGGCAACAATAAAATTTGTCTGTACTGTAAGTTCAGCACGTGTTAATATACCGCTTTGACATGACCACAACTATGCGCAATCTTCAACAAACGTTTTGTTTATTTGTTTACATTACAATGTTTATGTTTTTTCTGCAAGATATTTTTGGCAGAAACGGTAAAGCAATGCGGATTGCGGGAGTTGAAAATTTTATGAAATGACATGTTTGCGAAGTGCAAACCGCGATTTTTTAATCAAACAAAAATTTATGACATTTGAGCTGCGAGATTTCATACCTACTGAAATTATATGATATTAGAGCCGCGATATTTCAGACAAAAATAGGACTTTTCCAGACTAGTTACACGGCAGCGCGACATAGAATTGATGGCCGGGAATCCCGGGATTGCGCAAACACGTGCGCAAAGAGAATAAATTTTCATTACATTGCGCCAACTGTGCACAGCAATGGCTTAAAAAAAGTGAAAATGCGCGGGAAAATTCACCAAAAACATACATCATCCTGAGTGTGGCAGTGGGATAATTAATTGGACCCTGTGAATGATAAAAAAAATGCCTGTGCTTTTGACCAATTGCACCTATTTCTATAATGCCAGATCCTTGCTTAATTTCAAGTTTTACTTATTTATTATACAGTAGATTGAGTGAAATTATATTTTTACCAGCAGTTGTCAAAAATCACTTGCAAATTAGGTATAATTTTCAACCCAAATCATTTTTAACCAAAATTTTGGAAAATTCAGCCTAATATTTCATATTAGACTCCTCAGCTACTGGCAAAGGTTTATTTGATGTTAATAATTTTATGACTCTACAATTTTGTTAACCAAATTAGAAATTCAAACTAGAAAATAAGAATATGCAGCATACAAAAAAGGATGGCTTTTTATGTTCATACAGGTAACATGGTCAAGAACTTAGCTACCAGTTTCCTAATGGTTAAGTTTTTGACCAGATGACACTAGTAGTTATGACTACCTACTTATGCGCTCAGTTTATTTTAATATCGAGCTAAGTAATACAAACACTGAACTCACAGATGATGGGGGTGAACTCCCTGCGCTGGGTGACCTCTGCACAGTTACGAGCGCCATAACAGCAGGAAAAACTACAAATTACTATTTTTAAACGTTAATCGAATACTTAAACCAATCCGTCACACAGACGATTTAGCACACAGCTACCAATTAAATCACATATCATGATTTCGGACAATGAGCTATCTCACTACACCCTACAACAACAAAAGTCAATAATGTGATTCACAGCTGGTGCAACATCTGCAATAGTCTTCTAAAAATAGAGATTTTTGCAATGCGGTTTAGGGAACCAACATTTTTCCACTTGTTCATTCAAACAGTTGTCACTAAAATTAAACCTTTTTTTTACAACTTCTAGGTTGCTATTCAAATATTAATGAGTGATACTTGACTAAATTTATTGAAATACATATGACATATTTTTCATTCAATTCGGTAATATGAATAAGATTTTTAATCAAATTTCGCCCCAAGGCCTTTTAAACTTTTCGATACGAGCGATCAAAATAAAAGTAGCAGTACTTCAACAGTTGGAATAAATTCTGCGTGACACTGCACCGAGAAAGTGTCGAGTCCTTTAAAAATTTTGGATTCCAAAATCATGGTTATATAGATTTTATCAAAATTTAAGATTATTATTTTGAATTTATTATTAACATCAGCAAAGAAATTAACACCATTCAATGCCTACGACGTTATTATGACGAATTAATTGTAATACAATGTTTACGCATCCTGCACCCGCCCGGCGAGTTGGCTAACAACTTTGCAAGATTTCAGTCTTACAAATCAACTGCTTGATTTTAATAAAAATTGCAAGTATAAAATTCACGTGTTGCGTGCGATTTCACTCAAATTAGTCGCAGGTCTAGTCCCGTAATTGTCCAATGTGAGTGTGCAATCGCTAAATTTTTCATTTGATTTCGATAGATTCTCTTTCGTCACTAAAGTAGAATTGGTATAAAAAAATTCTAGTACTGAAATTTCTATTAGCGAATAGTGCAGCTTTTTAACGTGCCATCTGTACAAATTAAAATATTTATACTTGATATTCAAATTTGATTTATTACCGCCATTATTACATAGTTGTTTGACTTACTCCAACTTCTTACATAAACTTAATCTCATTAAAAAGTTCATTAGTTTGCCAAAATGTCACGTGCAATCGTGTATTTTATTCATTATTTTGTTTTATTCATTATTTTGTTACAAAATAGTAACAAAATAGAGGCTCGGGGTGTGTGAGGCAAGACTCTGTCAAGTGCATTGATTGAGCAAACAACGGCGCAGCGAGGCGCGTAATTCCTCATCGCGTTACATTCCATTATCAGGATTACGTACAGATGGTGGATGGCGTGGCGGCCTCGCCGCCGCATCGACGGATGACGCCAGCGTCTGGCACTTGCCTTGACGGGAGAGGGCGCATTTGACAGTTGCCTTGACGGGAGAGGGCGCACGTCGATGGTTGACAGTTGCCTTGACGGGAGAGGGCGCACGGTAACTGTTGACAGTTGCCTTGACGGGAGAGGGCGCATTTGACAGTTGCCTTGACGGGAGAGGGCGCAGTTGACAGTTGCCTTGACGGGAGAGGGCGCATTTAGAGGGCGCATTTGACAGTTGACAGTTGCCTTGACGGGAGGAGGCGCTTGTTGATGGTTGACAGTTGCCTTGACGGGAGAGGGCACATTTGACGGTTGACAGTTGCCTTGACGGGAGAGGGCGCATTTGACAGTTGCCTTGACGATTGGTGACGTCCAGCCGTTCATTCAGACGACCACGGGTCATTTGGTGACGATTTAAAGTTAGTTTTGACGGCTTGCTCGGGACGTCTTGTGTTGACTATACGGCTTACGGTCGTGGACGTCAGTGGTGTTTGTGTTGATAAGTGATGATCATGTAGACATCGGCGTCAGGCAGTGACGTGGAAGTTTTTGCTGGTTGGTGATGACTGGTAGGCTACTTGTCTGGACGGGTTGTGGTGGTTGGTGACGCCTGTTAGGTCGGGTTGTGGTGTGTTGATCTCTTAAGGAATATTCTATGCTCACTTGACAGCTTCTCCTCATATTATTTTAATAAGTAAATCCAATAAGTAAGATTAAAAACGTATTTTAAAACCTGACACTGAGGTGTTTTGAAAAAAAATTCAGTTATAAATTTCAACATTGGCAAATTAATTTTTTATGATACTAAACCAATTCCATTTTTTAACACACTCACCGGCGAATATTTTAGTCCTACAGTGACCTGCAACCTACACTTGTATAATATGTGATAAATAGTGGTATATAATAACTGTAATAAATATAATACTACTACTATCCACAAAAATTATAAAGTAATAAAATAGATATAATGTAAATAATAATTAAATAAGGAAATGAATAATTTTTAAATTCAGGTCTGAACTTTGTTAGTGAAGTTTGTTGATTTAACTATAATAAGTTAAATTTAGTACAAAAAATTTACTGTCAATAGACAAACGCCGTCTAGTTTGTGTTGGGACTTATTACCGGTGGCTTGTAAGTCAAAAATATACGAAAGATTCTTAAACACTTTGCCATGATCCTCGAGTGATTTGAGTAAAACATGCGATTGTCAGACATGAATAAATACGAGGCAATCAAATGTGCACTTGACGATTAAATATCTAATTAATTAAAAGGCAAAAACGGTATACTGTAATTGTTTAATTAACATTTTCGTTTTCGAATACTCAAAGTCTCACTCATTGCTTTAAAAAACTCATAATCTTCACACTCAAATAAATTTCGATTATCTTTTAACCGGTTTTGTTTCAAGTTCCCCTCACATTCTCTCCCTCACTCCCCTCCCCTCGCGCCCCCCAGCCAGAGCAGTTTTAATTAAGGCCCAAATAGCTTAATAGCCTCTGTGCCACCGAGGTAATCTCGACCTAATTAGCTCCTCCCAGGCCTCCATCTCTTGTGGCCTCCCCCCTTGTTTCCCCTCATCCCTACCCTCACTCCAACCTCTCCCCTCTGTTGAGTCTTGTGGCCTCCCCCCTTGTTTCCCCTCATCCCTACCCTACCCTCACCCCAACCTCTCCCCTCTGGTGTGTCTTGTACCGCCTCATCCCTACCCTCACCCCAACCTCGCCCCTCTGTTGTGTCTTGTGGCCTCCCCCCTTGTTTCCCCTCATCCCTACTCTCACTCCCAACCTCTCCCTTCTGTTGTGTCTTGTGGCCTCCCCCCTTGTTTCCCCTCATCCCTACCCTCACCCCAACCTCTCCCCTCTTTTTTGTCTTGTGGCCTCCCCCCTTGTTTCCCCTCATCCCTACTTCTCCCCTATGTTGTGTCTTGTGGCCTCCCCCTTGTTTCCCCTCATCCCTACCCTCACCCCAACCTCTCCCCTCTGTTGTGTCTTGTACCGCCTCAGTCTTAACTGCCACATGTAACTTCCCTTTGTGCCTTGACACTTTAATGTATTCCCCTCGAGCGTCTTCACTGAGGGAACAATTAAGCCCTTTTCATACCCTCAGCCATTGACTTGAGGGTCTCGTAGACCTCGGCATTCTGAGAACAAAATAAGGAAGTACCGAGGATATAAAAGAGTTCTTAATTAATTGTGATATCAAAACAAATTCTTGTTTACATTAGACTTGACATTTGGGGAGCAATTTGTTAAATAGCTTCAAGTTCACTCAGTTGTGATGGTCCCTCAGTTGTGATGGTCCCTTAGTTGTGATGGTCCCTCAGTTGTGATGGTCCCTCAGTTGTGATGGTCCCTCAGTTGTGATGGTCCCTCAGTTGTGATGGTCCCTCAGTTGTGATGGCCCCTCAGTTGTGATGGTCCCTCAGTTGTGATGGTCCCTCAGTTGTGATAGTCCCTCAGTTGTGATGGTCCCTCAGTTGTGATAGTCCCTCAGTTGCACTAGAAAAATCTACGGGAAAGGGATGAAGGCTGCGCACTATAATCTTATTCGTATAGTTAGCATAAAAAATTATCTGCCAACGAAGATCTACATACAAGGAATCATCTACAGGCAGAGACCTGCAGGCAAAGGTATATCCTTACTGGCAAAGATCTACAGGCAGAGACCTGCAGGCAAAGGTATATCCTTACTGGCAAAGATCTAAAGGCAGAGACCCGCAAGCAAAGGTCTTTCCTTACTGGCAAAGATCTACAGGCAGAGACCTGCAGGCAAAGGTATATCCTTACTGGCAAAGATCTACATGCAGAGACCTTCAACCAAAGGTCTTTCCTTATTAGCAACGATCTACAGGCAGAGATCTATATATACATGCAAAAATCTACTGGTAAGGCTGTACTACCAGAGATATGCGAGTGAAAATTGACAAGTAAAAATTTTCAGCAACTTACATGACAGTCAGAGATCGTCAGTAAGCTACGCTGCTATAAAGTTTGTTAATCGTTAATCTCTCTGAACCAATAACCCAAATTTAGCTCATAAATGAAGAATAGCCTGCCGACAAGTAAGAAAATATGTTATTTCCTCAGGACTTCATTCGTTTATTATGTTATTTTTGCCCTGCATTATTTATTTTTTGATTGAAGACATGTAGTTTCGAAGGTATTCTGATATTTGCGGCCATTTATGGTGTGAAGCCAGCATATGGCGAGCTCCTCTATTGAACATTTAATGGACCGAGTGATGCATTTACACCTCATGCATGTGAATGATTGGATATACGGGAACAATCAAGGGACCGAGTGATGAATTTCCAGCTCATGCATGTGAATGATTGGATATACGGGAACAATTAATGGACCGAGTGATGTATTTCCAGCTCGTGCATGTGAATGAGTGGATATACGGGGAACAATTAATGGACCGAGTGATGTATTTCCAGCTCGTGCATGTGAATGAGTGGATATACGGGGAACATTTAATGGACCGAGTGATGTATTTCCAGTTNCTGTCAACACCAGAACCGTCTGTGCTAGAACTGTCAGCACCAGAACCGTCTGTGCTAAAACTGTCAGCACCAGAACCGTCTGTGCTAGAACTGTCAGCACAAGAACCGTCTGTGCTAGAACTGTCAGCACCAGAACCGTCTGTGCTAGAACAGTCAGCACCAGAACCGTCTGTGCTAGAACTGTCAGCACCAGAACCTTGCATACAGTTGAAACGCGGAAAAAAGTTGATTGTTAGCGACGCATCTAATCCATTACCTGACCTGAACATTAAAATATTGTCGTTTGTTAATTAACTA